TATTTGGGTCCTTGGGAAGGGCTTGATTGGCGGATAAAAATGCCAAATTATTCTCAATGAATGACTCTGAGTGGCTTACAATTAAAATAATGTACAATTAAAACAATAAGAGCATTTTGAAAATAATAAAAAAAACAATCCAAAATAAACATACAGCAGCCAAGATACTTAGTTTGGTAATTATAAAGCCAGGAAAAGGGGGCGCTGACTGCCCCTTGCTCGGGAAGGTCTCAGTCATGAAGGGCTTTAAAGATGACAACTAGCAGCTTGAAATGTGTTTTGAAAATATTGATTGCAAGGGCAGCTCACTGAGTAGTGGTGTCATGTGTGTCTTATATCCAGAACCAGTTGCCATCCATGCTACTGAATTCTGCACTAGTTTCCTCTCCTTCGGCACAAGAGAAGGGCAGTTCCTAACAGGAGAAAACAGAGCTGCCAGTTGTGCATTTATTGCAGGGAGAGCAATGGTGGAGCCCATTTGTTTCCTACCCTAATCAGAACATGGTGGCCATCCTGAGCAAAGCAGAACTTGGAGAATTCAGATAATTCCTGCCCCGGGCTGTGGGACAGGTCACTTGCTGCAGTTTGGTGATTTTCACTTCCGCAGAAAAGAAGCCATGCAATGTGATAAGCCCATAAGTTGGAATACGGGAGTTCCCTGCACAGGAACCAAGCAGGCTGGAGGTTTCTGTGCTTCTGGACTAGTTTTATATCTCTGTAGCTCTCTTTCTGAGTGTATCTTTGGGAAGGGCTATTGTTGGGTACAGAAGTCACCTTGCATACAGGAAGGACTGAGATCTGCATTCCAGGTCTGGGAATCCTGAACGGAAGAACCATTTGTCAGCACTTTGAGCTGGTCCAAACAAAATGCACTCGAATGAATACTCGCTCTATCTCTACTGTGAGGCCATAATACAAAATCCAGCAGCTCTGAAAGCATTTGCCCCCTCCCTTCCTTTTACTCTCTGGAAAACTAGGGAGAGTTTCTTCTGTCACTCTTACAATGCACCCCACTCCCCCAGTCTTCTTCTGGGGACTAGGATACATTTTACATTTATTTTTATTTAATTTGATTTATATCCCGCCCTTCTCCTTACTGGACTCAGGGCGGCTGACAGCCTTATAAAACCAATATTTACAATAAATATCAATTTAAAACCAGATTAAAAGGAAATATTTGTGAAGGCCTAATAATTAAAATTTCCCTTAAAAACCCCACTAAAATTCCCTAGGCCAATCCCGCCTGTTGGAAAAGCCATGTCTTTAGGGCGCGGCGGAAGGAGGGGAGATCCGGGATCACCC